AGCAGTTGTGAAGGGAGCAGAGACCAAACACATTCTGAATTCTTCTATTCTCTGTATCTAAGAGTTTATTTCCTTTAGAAAATTCTTAAAGACCAAACCATCTTTGTGTAAAGATGATGTGGAATTTTTAATGATATCTTAAAAGCCTCCTTTTCCATTTTTTGCTACTGAAATGCTAATGTCTTCTGGGTTACACTGAAAATGAGTGCTTGCTTCTCCTGTGAGTGGGAACTGGCAGGGTTCCTGCGGCTGTGCCAGGCATGGTGACTGCTGCCACACTGCCTGTGTGTTGCCTGTGGGAGGTCAGCCTGGTCACAGTGGCTGTTTGCAGCTGCAGGGACATCAGTGCTCACCACATGCAATTATCCCTCCATGGCTTCACCCTTCCTTTTTGGGGAGACATCAAACCTTCCTTCCTGCCCTGAAGAGATAAATGACCTGCAAGTACCAGTGAGCAGAAGTGCAAGGTCACTGCTAGCAAGTGCAGCCTCGTGGTCCAGGTGACCTGGGAGCTCATCCTGCTTAAACCTCTTCTCTCTTCTCTCCAGCCTCAGAGACGTGGGCATCCCTTTGAAATCCCACAGTTTCAGGGTGCTTTCAGGGACCCCACAAGGGACTCCACAAATGTGTGGCACATGCAAAAGTGTTACCTGCTGTACTCTTCCTCCTCCTCCTCCCAACAAGAGACAAGTCAACACCTGGGGCAGCAGCATGATCATTTTAACAAGAAGCCAGCTTGCAGAGGGCACACAGGATAGTGTCTTGCCAGTTCACCGAGCCCTTTAGCCAGAATACAGCCAGAATACAGCCACCACTGTGTGGTCGGTGGCTGGAGTGTGGGAGCAACCTCCTCTCTGCATGGTTTAGAGCAAAGCTCTGGCTCCTCTGGAAGGAGCACAGTAATGAAAATTCAGCTTTGCCTCTTCAGTCTGCAGCTGCCTGACCTCATGCTCTGCAAGAGCAAACCTCCGAGCAAAATGCTCGCTCTCCCCCATCCTCTCTCTTACTCATTCTTTCTTATTTTGCCTTTTCGTCATCATCTTGGGGTTTTCTTCATCGCTTTGTTTTGTGGGTTTTTTTGCAGTAACGTTTTGAACACAAATTAGTGAAGCAATAGCATCTTCTGGAAAGGGTATTATCAAGAATTATGAACCAGTTTGGCCATGCAATGGCCCTGAGGCAAAGCCAAATTGCCAAACCAGATTTTAAACCCATAATCCAGGTAATGACCTGTCTAGAGGGTCTTGTGAATGTTATATGCTTGTGATGAGCCAAGGGTTGCTCTTTACTGGGACATAAAATTCTCTGAATGCTTTATTTAACTTTACTGCATTGGATGTTTCTAACTGCCTCTCTCGGCTTTTCCTCTGTGAACAATTTCTAAAAGCAATATGTAGCTCAGTTAGTTTTTTCTTAGTAGTTTCTTCTCTCTGACTGAGCTGGTTCTGGAGGTGCACCTATCCAAAAAGCCATAGAAGTATCCGTGCTGATAGGCAGAGCTCTGGCACCCTCAGGAATTTCTCTGTCAAGCCATTCCTGGGAGCGACCCTTGCGTGCAAAGCCTTTCACTGTGCATCTTGTTTGTTTGAGGCCAGTGCTTTTCTCAGTGCCCCTTTTGGCTGGAGATGCATGAATTCCAGCTTGGCATTATCATGCTGGCATCTCATGGCATTGCACTGAACTACCAGCCTGTCCCTTCTCTGTTAGAGCCAGGGTTTAAAAAAATTAGTAATTAAAAAAAATGAGTAATTTGCATAGATAATTATCCCGAACTCAGGATGCTGTTAAAGGTGCAAATTCTGCATCTGTGCAGCTTCACATGCACCCAGAAAATCTGGGTGTGTGAGATGCTGGGCAGTGGAAGGCTGTGATAATGTGCAGTTGAATGTGATGGGATTGCAGACAAAGGAACCTCTAGCAATTTGGCACGGGTAACAAAAAGTTGCCTCTCCACAGGACAGAGGTAAAACTCCATCTTTGATGTTTCCTTGTTTGATGTCCGTCAGTTGTATAGCGTGTCAGTAATAAAAGATCAAAGATCTTCCAGGTAAGGATGAGGTGCAACACTAAGCAAGCAGATGTAGTTGGTACAAACTATTCACGTTGCTTTGGGCTGGCTACTACTTCTTGCAAAATGGTTGAAAAAGTGGTCTGAGGGGCAAAGTTTCAGGCAATGGAGGTGGGGACCTGCCTCGTGGTTTTTAAGAACTCCAATGGGAGGAGAATATTCCCCCACCATTGCCAGAAACAGGTACTTTCTCACTGTTGATGACAGCTCGTGGGAAATAAGCAGCCGGTTTTGCATCTTTGCTGTGATGGGAATTTTGTCCCAGGATATTTCAGTGCTGATATGTATTTTCCTGGACTGAGATGATTTTTAATCCACAGGGCTGTGTCCAGGCTGGTTGCTAACAATGCCAAGCAGTAAGAGCCAGGAACTACAAATTCCTGTTGTCTTTCTGCAAACACCGCTGCAGTAGTGCTAATTGTCACCATCTCGAAGCCTTCAGGTGGCAGCTTCTAACCCACAGCACAGGAATTTGTTATGTTAATTATTGCTTGCCAGCCAGAAAGGCACCTGCATGTCTACTCCAGCTCTCCTGGTGTTCTGCTCTGTGGTCTCTCTTGTCCTCTGTGCACTTATTTGGAAGAAAAGCGTTTGACTTCTATGCAGAAGAAAGAGATTGGTGTCAGAAAGGCTGGAGTAGCGTCCCCACGGATCCTTATCTTTCGAGGCAGTGAACCAGAAAGTGTGTTTTGTATGGCCCTAGGAGCACCCCAGCAGAAAAGCAAAGGAATTTCTGCTTGAACGTGGTAGAGGGGAAGGGGAGGAGATTAAGCTGGTTTTCAATATGTTTTATTTTATGGTATTACTCCTCTTACAAACATGTAACCTGCAAACTGAGCGTGCTGATGAAGACAAGCCATGAATCATTCATGATGGCTTTGTTTGGTATTCCTTAAAGGATTTCTTGGTAGTATTGTGTGCCTTAATTGCACTGACATCCCCCACTCAGAAATTCAGGAGGGTGAGTTGGAAATAAGAAAAAAATATATATATATCCGTAAATCTGTGACTGGCAAACAAAGCTTCTTTTCACATCCTGCACTTGCTGGAGAGATCAAAGGAAAACACGGTTGTTCGCCCTCCTTCTGATCACATATTGATAAACTTTATCTCACCTGACTTCAGCTTTTAGTTCAACACATACCCCTTGGATCCAGATGTCATTTGTTAGCCTGTAGTGCACTTGAGTCCAGCAGCGTCTGTGCTGCTGAGCTGTGATAGTTCAGCTCTTGGTGAACTATCACCCATCATGGGTGGCTCTTTCCCAGGATTCAGGGTGCTGGAAGCAGACACTGAACCCACAGCCAGCAACGGGGCTGCAGATTTACCTGCTTTTAATGTACTTCAGTTTAATTGCAACAGCCAAGAGGACAGAGGTAAATAAGAAAGTAATTAGAACCATAATTTGGGGATCTTCCTTGTCGCAGGGACAGAGATCGTTTCTTTATTCTCCTCCAAAGAGATATAACTTGGTAATAATTTTGTCACAGTGACATTTATGGGAGAGACTTGAAAGGAGCAGAAGAAAAGGAACAAGCCAAGGGACAGCTTTCCCTTGCTGGTAGCATGCATCAGAGCTGACGTGCGTCTGAAATCCTTTCCAAACCCCTCTCAAATAAGCACTTAGGAGTTACTTAATTGACTGTTAGAGGATTCAGAGATGCTGAATTACGAGGTGCCCTCGTTACAGAGGGCAGGGGGTGGGGACTGTGGCTTTTGCTTCCCCTGAACCCCTGTGCTCCTCCACAGAACCTCAGTGGCTGTTCCTGCCTCACCTCGGTCCCTGCCGAAAATGCCACCGTCGTTCCTGGCAAATGCCCCAGCCCCGGCTGCGAAGAGGCCTTCTTGACATTCCTCTGCGTGATGTGCGTTTGCAGCATGATCGGGGCCATGGCGCAGACACCGTCAGTCATCATCCTCATCAGGTAGGACCGCTGCTGGGAGGAAGCAATGAGCTCTCCAGGGGCTGCTCTTGGGCTGGGGGGACCGTGGGGTACTGCTGGGAGCTGCCAAGGGTCCTGGCCTCTGCCTTTTCGGCTGCACATCCCTGTATCAATGACTTTGGCTTAAGCAGAGGTTTAGTACATCAGAAAATCTTCCCTTGACTAAGCATCCCTGAGTGAAGACACCTTGAAAGAGCTGCCCACATTTTCAAAAGATTTTGGACCTCCTTCAGCAAATGAGGAGCTACGGGCACAGGCTTTCTGGTACGTCACTGCCTTCACATGCAGGCAGGAGTTGGGGAGTCAAAAGCCTGAGCAGTCCTGCCTGAATTTTAGCCCTGTCGTTTCAAGTGTTAATTAAATCATTTTTTTTCTCTAAGCCACTGTTTGAAGCACCTGCTTCACCCATGGCACAGCCCCACTGAATTCAGTGCCTACAGTACTGACCTGCTAGAGAGAACATGGGAATTCCTCCACTATGGCTTTCATAAAATGGGAGTGAGGAGGGACTGGGCTTGCAAACAGAGATCCCTGCATGGAGGCTGCAAAGAAAGGTGGCAGGCTTGTTCTTACTAAGGCTGTGATTAGCACAGGAAGGGAAAGACAGAAGTGTAGTTGCCAGTCCGGGTATAAGGACATTACAGCTGTATCAGGAAAGGGCAGAATTGCAACCCCGTGTTCTCAGCATGGAATGGCTTAATAAAATACCTCTAGAGGTGGCCTAGAGATCTGAGAAGCCATGGAAAAATGAAAGGCTGCGGCAAAGGCTATCTTTGGTCAATATTCTCCTGGCTAGAGTTTAACTTTCCTCACCCTGGATCATGTCCAAGAACAGAAGGAACTTGAAAGTCTGAAAGGTGTCTCTGAGTTAGCCAATATGAATAGGTGGGCAAAAGTAGCTTATTCAAATAACTGACCTTGAGTTAGTTCCAGACACAGGGAACACTTCACCTTATGATATATGGGTGCATCTAAGCCCATGTTTATCCAGAATTCCGTATCTATCCAGGCTGTCACTTACTGAGAATAATAACTAGAGGCATAACTAGCAGATCCATTCTGCTGCCTGGAAAATTCCAATAAAATTCAGTCAATAAGGTCGGTATTAGAAACACACTCTCGAGTGGATCTCAGACAGAACAGCTCTGTGAGGGCATGTCTCCCTGCAGGGTACAAAATGAGATATTCCACCTACTAGTTCGTTTCTCTCTTTGCATCTACAGTCGCTAAAGGGAAATCAAATTTCTCCTGATAAATATTGTGGCAAAAGTAATTTGAAGTTTGAAGAGTTCTTTGTTCAAGGGAGCTGCCAGCACCTGTAGGATCCTGAATGGAGATGTCGTAGTGTCAGCTTCAAATGAGATAAGCCAGTCACCAGCCAGGAAGAAGAATACAAGGGAATAAGAAAAGCAAAGAGAATATTAAAAATATTCAGCCCGCAGCTGTAGGAAATAAACAATTCACACATCCAAATTAGTAACTGCGCTCCCTTCAGAATCACTGATAGCTACTAAAATGTAGATGGAAGAGCTCTTCACCATGTACCACATCATGCTCTCTTGCAACTGCTGTGTTGGATTGCTAAAAAAAAGGTTTGGCCTATGAATGTGTTCCTGGTGTCCATGGCAGTGGCAAGTGGCATCGGCAGCTCCTATGGTTAATTTAAAAATGAACCTCAGTGCCTACAAATTAAATGTCTTGTCTAGGCAAGTGTTTTGTTCACAGCTGTAGTCGGTGGGAAAAGGATATATCTCCAGGTGGCAACTTTTATTCCATCCTAAGGTATGGGGATTGACTTTGGTCTTAAATACAAGAAGGTGAACAGATGGACACTACCACTGCTTAAAAACCCCTTGTGAATATTTCACCTGGTAACCTATTTTTTCCATAAAATAAACTCTTTCTGTTTCCTTCATTTCCTACCCAACTGTAGAATCCTATTTGACCCAAACCCGTAACCAGTGGAATATTTTTCCAAGGGTAGATAGTTCATGACATTAAGTCTTTATATCAAGCATGGGTGTCTGCTTGAAAACTCTGCTGAAATTCAGCCAGAGGTCACAGGCTTCATGCAGGAATCATGGTAGGAGGTTACATGGCCAGTGTAATGTGTGAGATGAGGGCAGGTGATCAGCATGGTCTTCTGTTAAATTAAAACCTTTTGCTCTTTCTGGCTGTTTTATCACTGTTTTCTGATTCCCCTCCACTGTATTTATACAGAGGACCACCACTGCCACTGTGGGTGTCACTAGCAGTGCTGACTACAGACCCTGTAAGGAGCTGATGGAAGAGGCAGTTCCCCTGTGTGATGAATCTATTCATACAGAGATCACTGTCCTGCTTCTCCAGCCTTTATATACTATGGGAAATAAAATGCTATTATAAGATTTAAGACCAAATTAATGATTTCTGAAATTACAAAGGCTTTGCTGAGCCTACCCCAAGAGGATGACTTTAGCCAGTAGCATCCTTCACATAACTGAATTAGAAAGCTATAAATTGTTTTTTAAAGCACCTTTGAAGGATAACTCTAATGCAGTAGAGTGGGTTGTGTTCATAGCAAAAGGCAGCACAACCATTATCTTCCCAGCATAGAAAAAAAAAATCACATGCTAAACTCATGCCCATGAAAACTAATCTTGAGCACATCCTCACTGGGAGGATTGATTCCAGGGAGATCTTATAGCAGCCTTCCAATACCTGAAGGAGGCCTACAAGAAAGCTGGGGAAGGACTTTTCATAAGGGCAGTTAATGACAAAACAAGGGGAAATGGGTTTAAGCTGAAAGAGGGGAGGTTTAGATTAGATATTAGGAAGAAGTTCTTCACTGTGAGGGTGGTCAGACACTGGAACAGGTTGCCCAAGGAAGTTGTGGATGCCCCCGCCCTGGAAGTGTTGAAGGCCAGGCTGGATGAGGCTTTGAGCAACCTGATCTAGTGGAAGGTGTCCCTGCTGATGGCAGGGGGATTGGGACTAGATGATCTTTAGGTCCTTCCAATCCTAACCATTCTATGATTCTATGATTTAACAGCCTGACTGAACCTTTTGGTCCATCATCCTCCCTTCCCTCTCTTGTTCCCAATAGTCTGGGAAGTTTCAGAACAAAAAGTTTTCTCTCCCTCCAGTTCTCAGCATCTGGAGCCTTGAAAACATGATGAGGAGCTTGTAAATGATGATTTACTGGGATCAGAATTTCATTTTTCCCCATCTGACGACAGAATTAGCTGTTGTTATTAATGACTTAGCTAAATTCCTGAACCTATCACCGATGTAATTATTTTTGGGGCTGTAGGCAGTTCAGGCAAAGGGAGAAGAAAAATTCCATTAATGACTTTTTGAAGAGGTGGTGGTGGCATCCTGGCTGACAGCACAGAATAGCCATGGGGTGTGTTAATCAAAGCAGAACAACAAGAATCGATTTCACTCTCTCCCTCCCTCCCTCCCTCCTCCCTACAGAACCGTGAGCCCCGAACTCAAGTCTTACGCCTTGGGAGTGCTTTTCCTGCTTCTCCGTTTGCTAGGTAGGTACAAAAATTTCATGTCCTTCTCTCCCATCCTTTCCTCCCTCATGGAAAAACTGTATTTTTAACATGCAAAAGCTGATGTCTACTCCATGCAATGCTGTGGTTGTCAGGAATGGGTTCTGATGCAATGAGGTCCAAGCCCTCTCTATGGATGATATCACATCAAGGCTCCTAAAGGCACTTTTCCTGCCATTTGAATTGTGCTAATAGAAGAAAATGCAGTGTTGCATGAGAAATGACTCTTTCTGCCATGGTCTCACACAACCAGTTACTCTTCTATAGCTGTTATTAATGTGTCAGCAGCTTCCAAAGTTCTGCTGTATAGTGTATTGCTGAAACAGAGGGATATATATTTTCATCCTCCTTTGAGGGACAGGGCCTGTGTTAGATGGTGTGTTTGTCCCTTTCTTCGAGTCTCTTGGGAAAGGGAAACAGTGAAATGAGGCAGGCTGAGTCCTTGTTTCCTCCTGTGGGTTAATATCCCATTAAAATGCATATGGCTGTTCCTCTGGACCAGTGTGTGCTTCTCATGTATGAATTAAAAGGAACACACTGCACGCTGGGCTGTTACTCACCTGCCTCTTGTTTCTGAGGGGAGGGTTTTTCCCCCTTTTGAAGAGATGGCTCTTATTTTAGAGCTCGTAGATTTCAGCCCATTAGTCTCAATGATCCAAGACAAAATCCTCTCTGATCCATCACTGTGTGTGTCCATCTCACGCGTGGGGCTTCTGCATGTTGTGGAGATGGAATTTACTTTTTTAAATCAGGGCATGGGCAGTACCTTCCCTGCATAACTACCCCTCCCAGCCTCAAAGGCATGAGCTGGAGAGTAAAATGCTATCTCCTAGGCTGCAGCAAGACACTAGGAAGCAGGGAACCAAAAATCCCACAGTACCATGCATTTCTTTGAATAAGTGACTTCATTTATTTACTTATTTTTTGTAACACCTTATTTCCCACGAGCTCAAAGGGACACAGTCCCAGACTGGTTTGGGATAAAGCCAATTAGATTGTCATTGCTTTTGGTGAAGTAGCTGCAGTCATACAGAAAGCTCCATCAAGCAATCTTATCCAGAGCTCACATAGCTCAAAGGGGAGCTTCTGGGTTGACTTGGGTCAGCTCTGGTTCAAGCTTTGCAAAGGCAGCATTTTCTTTAGCTGTCGGGGCTGCTCTCAGGTTTTGACCTGTCTTCAGCTCTCACTGGCTGAATGCGGAGTGTCAGCAGGCAAGTGTGTGGGGAGGATGGCTCTGAGCTGTTGTTTCCAAAGGAAGAATTACTTAAGGGGAAAGATTTTCTGTTTTTTCCCTTTTATTTTCAAAAGAGAGAAGCCTCCTGAGATAGCGGTATCTTGAATTCCTCTGAAACCAGACTCAGACATGTATGCTTAAGTTGAATACATCTTTTTTTTTTTCTTCCAATAAAGAAACCATTGTAAGAATTTAAACTCAAACCTTTGTATGTTGCTCTGTCACTAAGGAATTCCGATGAAATAAGACAATACATCCTGAAGCATGTCAGCAGTGTAGCTTGAACCTACAGAAAGTGAAGAGAAAAGGTACTTTTCAATATGAGCAAGGGTATCCAAATCTTGCCCTTAACAACCTGAGGTTTGAGAATAGCTCTACTGATTTATTTTAAAAGCTTCTCAGTTCACCTTTAAGCTTTGACTTAAGAAGAGAATGATAATAGCTGCTTCTTGAACCAAAGGAGAGTATTAAATACAGGAGGTATGAGACCCGGAGGTGCAATCGTAGCTAATAGATTACAGTAAGACAGAAGCAGCTTCTTTATACAGCCCTACAGTTTCTGCAAGGAAATACATATATAGCAGAAATTTTTGTGATGCTTTGCAGTAAGAGGTAAAACATGATTGAATCTCTTTAATATTCACTGTAATAACATGAAACACGACTGAATTCTCCTGGTATCCTCCTGGATAGATTATCTTATTCTATAGGAGTTCTGCTGTGAGAGAGCAGCATAACAGTGTATTCATATAAAAGCATTGCTGCAGTTTCTCAGAGAAGAGAGTGTAAAGCAATGCAGTTGGAGCCAAAAATCTGGAAAGGGAAAGAGTTTTGGACTTGTAAGTTCCTGGACACATCCTGGATTGTGGACTATTCTGGATGGTGTTTACCATCCATCCTAGCAAAGCCTCTGCTTACTAGGGCACTTCATTTTGCTTTTCCTATGAGCCTGTGTTGTTTTCCCCTCTTCTTCCAGTGTGACAAAACCACAGTGTTTCTCTCTGAGAAAGACTTTCCAATTTGCAGTGCAACCCCTCAACTCCCATGTCTCAGAGGGTCTAGGCCCTGACTCGTTCCTGTGTTTCTCTTGTCCTCTCCTCTGGTGAAGATGAGCTGAAACACTCCCTGATTGCTAGAAGTTTTTGATGTATTTTTCTTTAAGGTTTCCATATCCATGCCTGCATTCCCACAGGTGTAGCTTTGGAGTTCAATGAAAAAGGTCCTTCCTCAAGTCTTTTGTGGAGCAATTTCCAGGGCAAATTATCTTGAAAACCTGGAAAGCCAGCTGAAGCCAGCGGATGAGGATGAGAGCTCTCTCTGAAGTTCAGCCTATGCATCTCCAAAGCTTTGTATCAACATCTCTCAGCATGTTAACAAGTAGGGGCTCACACCTCAAAATTATGATCCAAATGCAGTTTTATCTTAGTCCAGAAAGCGTGTGGCTCCTGCCTCCTCAGTCACTGCCCTGTCTGGATGTTACCCCCTTAGGTGACATCCAGCACCAGTGTGGCACTGAGCACACGAACTGCCTACAGCAGCACAGCCTTTTTGCTTGTTTCTGGCAGGAGCCCAGCAGATTTTTTGAATTCCAGGTTGTGTGTGTGGTTGTCCACAAGTTTCAACCAAAAAAAAGCATCTTTTAACTCTACAAGCAGAATCAGCCCAGTCTGGAATTTCCAGTCTTTGAAATGACATACAGGGAGCTGGCGCTGACATTTTTTTTCCAGAACATAACCTTGTTTTTCAGATGTGATGACTGCAACTAGTGTTTCTAACAAAAAGATTGTCTTACTTTTTATCATATGTTTTTTATTTACTACATTTATGCTATTAATGACTGGTTAAAATGAGTACCAAAAGCCCATATAGCCTTTCTTAACTGCCTGCATTTATTAACATATAAGGAAGATCAAACAAAATCTGCAGAGCTCTAGTCATTGACAGAATAAAATAAAGACATCTCAGTTACCACAGGGAACAGTGAAGACAACCAATTTATTTGTAGTCTTAGGCTACATGTCGTGAATGTCACTATTTTGTTCATGACAAGCTGAAGGAAGGTACCTTTTTTTAAGCCTGGAAATCCAGGTTAATGATGAAACTGGATCCACGATTAAACACTTTTCTGTCTAGAAACTGCAGTGTCTGTTTGGCTGCACGTGTATTTATAGAGTCTCAGGCATCACAGCACTTAGGAATGGAGTGATACTGTCAGGGGTATGTTGTGCCTACCTGCTTTGGGGTTTTAATAGATAACAATGCTTTCCTCTGCTTCCTGTCTTAACCCACAGCAATGATTTTATCAATCAGGGTTTTTTTCCAGAGTTTATCTGCTTCCAGCCTCCCCCCATAAATGTAGCAGAAGGAAGATAAATGGTTTATATATGTCAAACATCCACATTTTCTTCTGAATGCTGCATGCTTGGTGCATGTGAGCTGGCTGGGGAGTGCAAAGCTGGAACGTGGATGTCCTAACCACTGTGGAGGTAATGTGAAACTAGGGGTCTCTACAATGTCCCTGTAGGATGGGGGAAATTAGAGAAGAAAAACATTGCTTTTATTAGTTAAATGAGATTGGAGTGATTGCTTTGCTTTAAGATTGCAGCTCTGCTCCAGACTGTGATTGAGAAACACTCATCAGGAGTTAGCTGCAGTGGCTGTGGGAGAATCCTGCTGTGATATTTCATTTAGTGGTGCACTGAAATTTTCTTTTCAGATTTAATCTTTGGCATTTATTAGAGGCCATTGTTTCTTTTCCTTAGATCTGTGTCAGAGAAAGGTCCAAAACTAGACCTTAGTGCCTCAGCTGATTTCAGACTGTGACCTGGAGTTCTCTGGCATCCTTTGGGTGAGCACCCCAGGGTGCAGAATTACCAATATCTAAACAGATAGCAAGCTTCAAGGCTGTCCTCCTCTTCATTTATTCCTGCATTCTTATCTCATTAGGCAGATGAGAAGCTTAATAAAAGCCACTTAAACTTGAGTAAAATCCTCCCTGCATGTTGATATCAGCAAAAAGGAATCTCTTCTGTAGATGTTGAGTCCAAGCTAAAAACTCACCCACGGATTTGTTTAGGTTGATTTAGAACTTAAAAAATTAGAATCACAGACTGCAGCTGGGACCATTAACCTTGATAAAGTATCCTCTCTTTCCATTCACTGCAATCACGTCTTTCTCTCCTTATCATAAGGATCATAAAAGCTTGATTTGTCTCTTTTATTTTAACAGGTTTTATCCCACCTCCGCTGATCTTTGGGGCTGGAATTGACTCAACGTGTCTGTTCTGGAGCACGTTCTGTGGCGAGCAAGGAGCCTGCGCGCTATACGACAACGTGGTCTATAGATACCTGTATGTTAGTATTGCTATAGCCCTGAAGTCTTTTGCATTCATCTTATATACAACCACCTGGCAGTGCTTGAGGAAAAACTATAAAAGGTACATCAAGAACCACGAAGGTGGTCTCAGCACTAGTGAGTTTTTTGCCTCTACTCTCACCCTAGACAATCTGGGGCGGGACTCAGTGCCCCAAAATCAATCACATAGGACAAAATTTATCTATAACCTTGAAGATCATGAGTGGTGTGAAAATATGGAGTCTGTTTTATAGTGACTGTGGAGGGGTGAACTATATTAATAATACAAGGGTCCTTTTTATTAAAAACGAGAAGAAAGTGAGAATGGAGAAACACAACGGCAAAACACCAACAGCAACACAGGAAACTTTTGTCTTTTTTCTCAAAGTCAGACCCAGCCAAGATTCTTGAGATCAGCATCTTCTAATGGGATCACTTGTGAAATCCTGTGGGATGATGGAGAAAGCAGGGAGCCACTGTGGCTGGGTACCAGCCCCTTTGATGACAGTACGAGCTTCCACGAAGGGCATCTGCAAAGGTTCATCAAAGAGCTCAGCCAAGGGACAGGCTTGGGCGTGAGGCACAGAGAAAGCAAGGTGATAACGGCAACGCTGGAAGAGGTGTTTGTGGTTGCAAACGGGGCCCCAGGGATAGGTGGAGCCCTGCGGCGTGGGCTGAAGGGTGAGCTGGTCTGGGTGCTGTTCAAACCCCCTGTGCTCTGTGATGGCAAAGAGAGAGCGGTGCTGGAGTTGTTCCACCAGTCACACTCTGTCACCAGCCACGAGTCCACGATAAATACCTTGAAAGCTGCTGGAAACCTTCCAGGTGGCGAGTAGTGCTGTCAGAGGTATCCGAGTCCTTCCAGCCCAGGCTTATTCGCAGATCGCAGCTCTGTGGTTGTCTGCGAATAGCTGTGCTCAGATCTCTCAAACCCAGTAAAGTTCAAGACATTTGCTCACACTTGCCAAACGTGCTGTCGTTTTTAAAGGGGAATGAATTCCAAATACTTGTCTATGTAGTCCTCTAATAAGACTTTTTTTTTAAAAAAACTTATTTTCAAATCTATGTTAACCCTTAAATCGCTGACACTTTTCCATAGGGAGGATTTATTTCTGTTAGTTTGGGGAAGGATCCTGTGTAATTCACCCAAACATAATGTGACTCAAGGGGTTTGTTTAATCCTCAGCGTTTTTTATCCATACGCCTTCATTCTAATATGCTACCAAGCCAATGAAGACACATAATATGTTTTTAAAAAAAGAGAACGAATGCACTGTGTCTCTATAAAAACAATTGTCAGTTGGAGAATTATAGATAATATGATGATTTACATAATATAGTTTTTTCATATTCTATGTGACTCAGTGAATACATATATATAGATATATGGAGGGGCTGTTTATGTTCTCTCCAGTTTTTAAAGATATATATATATATATATATAATTTGCAATTTAGAAATTGTGTGGTGGATGTTTTCTTTAAAGTAAGTGTGCGTGCGTGCGTGTGTGTGTGTGTGTACAAGATGAAAGGAATACTGACCTTAATCCTGCAACCCTCACAATTGGTTTGGTTTTTTTTCACCTGTGAAATTCCACTGACTTCAGTGGAAGCCATGTGAGGAAGGTGGAATAATCTCCCCTCCTGGAGGCCACGTTTTGCCCTTAGATGTGCAAATAGTGTTCCTATGGAAGGCTGGGTTATGGGAGCAGAGGCTGGCCAGCACTGAGGACCTCTCAAATTTTCATTCAGATCCACGCAGGAGCAGATTTGGCTTTGCTTTTGCAATGCAGTCTTATCTAAACCTGAGAAAATCATGGGGAAGCTTTCATCTGATTTCAAGAAGCATTGGATCAGGCTTATTTTGCATGTGTATTTTTCTTTTCCAAAACATTCTTGCTGGGAAGCAATACAAACTGATTGTGTTTGAGTTTTCTCCGGGAACCAGACCCGTTTTCAGTGGACTAAATGTCAGAAGGGTTTTAAGGGTTAGCATCATAATCAAAAAGCTCCTTTTTTTTTTGTTTGTATTTTGAAGCTGTTGTGAACTTGCACATGTTTAGAGAAGTAGCCTGGCATGTTGAACCGAATGCCGGACATCACTTCCATGCAGCTGGCGGAGGGGCTGATCTTCCCCAAGTCCTTGTCCATTGCTGGCAGTGGGTACCCCAGAATTGGCACAATTACAAAGGATTGATAACTTGCCACTCATGTTCAACACCTTTTCAGCAGACTTTGCTCTTGCGTAGGCATTGAAACATGGGTGTGGGATATCAAACTGCTTCCACTTGACTGACTTTCCGTGTGTGGTTGTCATTTATGCACAGCGTTATATGTTCACCGACAGTAAGGGCAAAAAAAAAGAGTGTATCAAATAAATTCTACTGTGCCAAATACTTGACAAATATTGTAACTGCATACGTTTGATCCTTGGTTTGCAGCCATGTTAAGAATCACTTGATTAATGACAGAGTTTAACAAAAAAAAGAGTTATTAAGCTATGCAGTGCCACTGTTACGTTGGGTGGTAAATGATGCTTTTTAGCCCATTAGATTGGTTTAGTATATCCTGTCTGCTAAAACAGAGATACTGCATCCATAAAACAATGAATTTAAAAAAGGCACAGGGTGCATAACTGTCTCATAAAATATGTATAATTGTCAAGTATAAGCCTTTGAAATCATTCTGTACAGTTCTCTTCATTCTGAAAATTTATTACTTAGACTGCTGTCTTTTCAAATGTTAGCTCATAATTTTATACCGTGCACACACGTTCAGACTCGAACACAAATGTCACAGAATAGAACCTTTCTAAAAGCCTAATTGCTTGAAATTCTATAACCCCTTTCACGATTTCAGGGGTTTTTTTCCCCTCTGAAAGTCCAAGGTGAAGGAGAATAGCATGCTGACGTGATGCAAAACAAACTCCCGGTGTTCAGGAGCTGTGGTTTGTCAGTACAGTCAAAAGTCCCCCTTGACCGGAGTTATAGAAACAGGATTCCAGGGCACTTAATGTTTTCATTTTTATTTCTTTTTTTTTTTTTTCTTTTAAATTTAATCTCTTCTCTTGGTATGTATGGCAGATGCAGTTGAATGGGGTTACTTATGTTATTTTTAAGCTGTAACTTAAAATTCCTGTGTGATTGTTGTTTTATTTCTTTTGATAATGTGACTTTTGAAAAGCTCTCTCCCCATCCCCCTCTTTTTTTTTTTTTTTTAAGGGTATATCAGATGCCTGCATGATGAAGGGCTTTACTGTCAGTGCTTTGGTACAGATTCAAGAACAGCTTTAGTTTAAAGAAAACACACAGACCAAAACCTTCATCCATCCCAGCAGGCTCTTTGTTTTTTTCTGATTTCAAAACCACAAGCCACTTCTGCCTGCAACCCAATTTTTGTTAGAGAATAACAAATGAAAAGTCTCAGACATCCTTCCCGCTTCCCAAAGTGCAGTGTGGGCCTTCGCCTGTCAGCACTTCGCTTCCATCCCGCAACTGCCTTAACCACGCGGGAAACTGAAGAACAAGGATGGAGTTAGAAAAATGCCCGTTCCTGGGAACAGAGACAGGGGCATGGTCTGAGCTCTGCAGTCCAGATCCAATGTTGGATTTTTTTGTTTCCGTATTCAGGGGCATTTAAATTCAGGGTTTTATTGAGACCTTAGTCTCAGCAGAAACGTTATTTTGACATCTCCAAGCACTGTGTTTCCTGCATGGCTGTCTGCTAAGGAATGGAAACATCAACTACTTGAGATTTAGCAGTCTCTATGGGATTGTCCTGTTGCCTTGCATGACTTCAGGTTGGGATTTCCTTTCCCTTTTGGAATCAAAAGGGGACCCCAATCTAAAATTGGTGCAGATGACACTAGAATCGGTCCCATCAGTTTCTTTGCATCTTTGTTGAACAAGAGGATGCATTTTCAGAACCTTCTTTTTATACATGTTGAAATCATACATTTTTCTGACTCTGCCTAGCACATCTTAGATGTATAGTGGGACCGAGAAGACCATCATTTGAATTATCTAGACAAACCTTCCACTCCTTAGGAATTCAACTAAGAAGGGTTGCACGGTGCCATACCCCTGCAAGATGCACTGACCTATCTCGTGCTGCTATTATTCATCTCATTTGGTCTCACCTTGCTGGGAAGGTGAAAAGGGAAAGATGCAGAGAGAGGAATTAGCTTCAATTAGCCGAGTTAGCTATGCTTCAAAATACTTCAGAATTGAACTGATGGTCTGCAGACATTTGGAAAGTGATTGGAGTATTTCCAAATGGCTGAGATGTACTGACATTTTTTTCTTTAAAAAAAAAACAAGTAAGTTGAAAATTAAGGGAATGAATAGGGTTTGGAGTCCTTCCTATCCCCATCAGAGTTTTATGTTCATCAAAGAGCTGTTGGAGGCAATGTACTTCAGGTTTACCTTTGTGCCTCGGTCAGACACATACTTTTTCTCAGTAAATGAGGTCCTGGGAGACAGAAAGGCGACTCCATCTCATAAACAGCAGTTTCACTCTGCAGCAAAACCCAAGACAACCTGAAGGCTACCAGCACTGTGAAGCTTTAGCCCCCGAGCCAGCCACGGCTGTTGCTGCCGTGGGAGAGTTTCTCACAGCTGAGTGTGTTGGGCTCAGTATTTTCTTAAAACTCGGACAGTTTTGGTGTGATGTGTGTTTTATTCTTGGCAGGTGACATGAGGAATTGTCAGTATTAAAGACATATGCAAATACTTTACTGGACTGACGTGGTAACAGCTTTGTTCCTTTATTCACAAGGGTTTCCAGACTTATTCCCACACTGCCTTTAGATGCAGCCATGCTCATCTGTCCCCCTGATGTCATGTGAACTGTCTTCGCAGGCAGAAGCAGGTTGGTTGTTGATCTCTCTAGATCTGCTTAATGCCTGCAAAGTTCACAGGCTTTCTGTGCATAGGGCAGAGCACCCCTCAATATAAGCAATAATACTGACATTTTCCCATATGCATGAAGAGTTTTTGCTTTTCTTACCTTAATATGAGTTCACCTCTCCCAGCATCCTATACTGCTGCTCTGACTCGCCTTTTTTGTTGGCAGCAACTCCAGGAGACTCTGAATATTCTCCTTTCCTTCCAACGATTGGTGTGAACTTACGCAGCAGTTTATTAAGACAGGCACTTGTATGATGGGAGCCTTTGGCATGAGCCAGGCTCAGCTTTGGTTATCTGATGGTTGAGGTGGATCCAAGGAGGAAAGGAACAACCAGGGCATTGTGGCTGAGCCTCCTGGAGTCCCTGAAAGGACTGTCCACCCTTCAGTGCTTCTGGATAGACCTACCTCCCTGAGACCTACTGTTTGTGGGCATTTCTTCCAAACTGGCCATCAGCTTCCTTTCTTCAGCCACAGTTCTTCATTCCTCCTGATGGCAAAGCACAGCTCAGCTCTAGCAAGTCAATATGAGGTGTTCAATAGTTACTGACTGGCATTTAAATTTGCCTGGGATGCCAGCAGGTCTCACTTAGGATTACATATGTTCAAAATATTATAGTTTCTTCTGCTTTTATACACTAAATCTATTACTTCTAGGCTGCAAATGATGTTTTCTATCATTCCATTGACATTTCTAGCCAATCTGAGTCT